TCCTGCTGTTTCCATTTTGGGATGACTTCCCAGCATGACCTGTTTTGTTAATAATGTGTTTGTGCACACCCGTCCGTAGGCTCTGTCCTGCCTCTGAGTCACTGGATAGGCTCCTGTCAATTTCTGTATGCCTGCAATGCTCAACAGCCCAGTCCTGAAGTTCTGCTTTAGCTGCCATGCTGGAAACCGTAGCTTGTATTGCCACACCTAAAGCAGCATATTATTCTTGATGAACTAAGCAAGTGGCTCAGTTTTGACCCCTGCTAGGAAATGCCTCCCCACTCATAAGAAGAGCCCTGCTGGATCGCACCAGTGGTCCATCTAGTTCAGAGATAGCCCTCTGGAGTACCAACAACAGGGCATAGAGGCCAAGACTTTCTCTGGATGCTGCTTCCTGGCTCTGGGATTCATTCTCTGAATGTGGAGGTTCCCCTTAGTCACCATGGTTAGTAGCCATTGATAGACTTATCCTCCATGAATCTAATCCCCTTTTAAAGCTGTCTATTCCTGTGGCCATCACAACATCCTCTGGCAGCAAATTCCACATTTTCATCACTCCCCAGGTTCTGACCACTATGAGAGTCCAGAGGAAGATTGTGCCAGTTTGCCTGGGACTCTAGTTTTCTTTTAAGGTCCTAGGGTAAAATGATGCCCGGTCAACCTTGGCTTTATGCTCTTCTCAAAAAGTGCAGCATGTTGTTGATATTCTTATATGTTGTGTCTGTGTAACAGAGCACCTGTTTTGTGCACCACTGATAATAGATGTGTTCTATCTATACTGTAGTTAAACTTGGTTTATATTATTTAATAGATGTGCTCACCTCAAATTCTTAAGCAACTGGCTTCTCTGACAATTTCCAGTAAAACAATCAATAATAAAATACTTAATTTTATTTCCCACTTTCCTCCCCAAAGTGGCTCATAATATTGCTTTCCCTTCCTCTATTTTATCCTTACAACGACCCTATAAGGTAGGTTACAATGAAAGTGAGTGACTGGTCCAAGGTCACTCAACAAGTTTCCATCGCATGAGTGACGATTTGAACCTGGGTCTCCCAGTTCCTAGTTCGACACTCTTAATCACTGTACTATACTGGCTCCCCACTCAAGTGAACAAACTTTCTAATAGCCTTCAAATAAGTAAAATGCGAAATGATGCATAAAAGCCAGAGTGCAAGTGATGCCTTAAATAGAAGGAAAAGACAGAAATTTGTCTATCAACAGAGTCAAAAACCACAACCGTCAAATCAAAATGCCAAACAGTTGGACCCAGCTTCAACTCGGAAGTTCACCCAATTTGGGGTGAAACACATAGATACTGAGACTCTTAAATACAACCCCATGAACTCCTCTGTCTATGAATTTATTCGTGATTACTTTTAAGCCTCGCCCCTCTTCTCAGCAAGGTTCTCCAAGTGACTAATAAAATTAAACCTGTATGTGTTTTACAAAAACCAAAACTAACCTAAAAACAAGAGAATATTAAATAATGAATAAGAACAATAAATGGAAGATCTTTAGAGAATCAGCAAATCAATAGATCATGAATACTCCCATTTCTGGAACAAAGGACTTCTAAATAGGATGGAGTGCACTGTCCTTTGATATAATGTTAACAAGCTGGCAAAGCAAGCCTCTTTGGGCAGAGAGTTCAAAGGTATGAGGCCACCACCAAGAAGGATGTTGCCCTTACTGCCACATATCATACTGCAGGTGGTACATAACATTCTAGTTCAAGGGGGCTTTGTATCTAGTGAACAATTAGCTAATTTTGGTAGATTTTGTGATATGTAATGTCCATATTATTCATTTGGTCTTTTCCTGGGAATGTATTTCCTGATCTTTCTTAAACATTCCATTACAATTCTACTTGGCCTTGCCATGCCTAGAAGATGAAAGACACTTGACATATACCTGGTGCTCTTCTGATTTAAAACCTGGGATCGGTGATCTTGATGTTTCAAAATTAGTCACCCCTGTGGGGAAAAGTTATCTGATTTTGGTTAGATTCCATTTCACTGCATGGGAATTTGCATTCTTGGGGAAAATTGACTCTGGAGTTTCTGTCTCACTCCCCCCCCTCTTCTTCTTTGTGTTACTGTTTGCTGAATCACCTCTTTCAAAAGCCTCTTTGTTGATCCGCTGGAGAAAATTTGGAGCCCCTTTCAAAGGCCAGCTGAGAGAGACAGGAAACAACACTCTCTGCCAGGCTTCCTCCCACTGCCTCTCTCTGTGGTTTTAAATGGCTCTAGTATCACTCCTCCTGGAAGAAAAGTGGACTGGCTGGGAAATCCCTTTAACTCCCTCCTCCTCTCAGTGGGGATTCCCTCTGACCTGGAGGGGTGCGGTAAAGCAGACAGAAAGAGAGGAGGGTGTCACAGAGACAGTTGCTAAGAGCCAGCTGCTGTGTTTTCACTTGCCTCAGTGACGGACTACAGCAAAGCAATGCGGAAGCAGAAACACCAGGCCAAATGTCTCACTCCCCCACTATCTTTGCCAGTATCTTTTGCCTGCCGTCTGCTTGCCAAACAGGATTTCTGCACTGACTGTTAAGAGACATCAGTTCAGATGAAGGAGGTTTTACTATCTCTGTCCTTCTCTCTTCCTTAATGTGGCCATGTGTCTCAGTGTTACCATAGGTCATCCTTTGCATGTGGCAGAGAAGCACTTTCACACTCCCCCTCCCCCACACATGGTTCTTGTTCCTGGGAATTGTCAACC